AGAAAAAAAAAACCCAAACACAATAATCAACCAAACAAAAACCCCAAGTTTATACCTTCAAAATATTTAAAATACAGCTTTACTCACTGATTTGGAACTATCTGATTTCTAGGGTAATTTTAACCCACACTACCACTGTTTAAGCACCCCCTCCCCGTAGATGCCACATCTCCTCTTTCAGCATACTTTATGAAAGACTACAGCACTTGAATTTCAGATATGTTCTAAGTTGTACCTGAGCTCCACAATAAGCACAAGTTTCTTTATAACTTAATAATTAGGCTAAAAAAAGACCTCTTTAGGTTCTCAGAAGAATACAGGGCAGGAAAACATGTTCTGTTCGATATTTTTGTAAATCTCTGTTAATCTTACACTTATTTTTATAGAGAAATACTGTGTGAATTTCAAAGATACACTGTTTATATATTCAACATCAACTGTCACTGCAATCTTACTGAAGGTGATCCAATAACTACCTTTATTTTGCAACGAATAATGAAAAAGTACCTGGTATCTTCTCTCTGGAACGTAAGGATATTACTTTATTTGCCATCAAGAGAGATCCACTAAGAGCTGCAAACTGTCCTAAAGTTACCTAGACTCTCACTTTTTCTGTTGGTTATCCTCTCCTCCTTTGCCCAACATGTCCTAGGAAAGAATCTAGAACTATTTACAATGATTCCTAGGAAAAAATCTAAAACAATTTACAGTGACAAGCTTACAGGTAACCCCTTGAGAGCCCCAGTGACATTGCTCCAAATATTCCTGCCTTTCTGCTGTCTGTTCCCACTACCCAGAATGCATTCCTCTAAGTCCCAGCATACCTCCATAGCTTATGGAGTTAATGGATTTATTTAAAAACAATTACAAAACTAATATCCAAGACAATAAAGAGATAAACAGAACATGTCTTTACATGCAATGGGTTCATGGTTTTATGGACAAGATGGTTTCTAAAACACAATGACATCCATTTTAGGACTATGCATGAGAGAGAAATGTATAGTGCTCTGAGGAGGAAGAGTCCAGATCTTCTTAAAGTAGTCAGGAAAGGTTTCTATGAGGTACTGACATGTGAACTCAGGCTTGGGTCAGGTAAGAACTCTTTGGCTGTGAAGAAAAATGGGAGAGCCAGACAAATCCCACAAAGACTCTCCATCTTCATCGACACTTGGGAGTGTAACAGTAGTTCATCAGTACAGGGGAGTAAACTCTCAAATTGCTCATGACAGGCAGTAGAGCCTAGAGGGTAATAATGACCTGAGTTCCAATCCTAGTGCCATCATTTTCAAGCTGTGTGACACTGAACAAGTTTGCTTACCTTTCTGAATTTAATTCTTTGTATCTGTGAAATGGAGAGACAATAAAGACCTTGCAAGGCCACTGTGGGATTAAATAATATTTAGCACTTATGAAGGGCTTTACAATCCCACAAGAGTTAATACATGTACAGGTTTATTGTCATACAGACCACAATTTTAAATAGCTTTCCTGTTGCTCTCAATTTACCTGCTTTATTTTAATTTACTATCTATGGCTTGACTCTTTCACAAGAACGTAAACTCCATAAAGGGAGGGACGTGGCTTTGTGTTCTAGTAAACTCCAGTATCTAGAATTCTGTGCTTGGCATGCTGCAGACACTCAAGAACTACGGGTTGGCTGGATTAATGTAAAAGTGAGGTCTCATCAATCCCTTAGGGCTTGTTAGGGGTTAAATGAGCTATTTATGACAGAAAAACAAGTAATTGTAGCTAGCATATAGTTGATTGCAGCCTCACCCTACTATCCTAGACACTGAACAGGCTCACTGTGGAGAAGCACATGCAGAATATCACAAGGATCCAGGAGCAGTAGGGCCTCTACCATGGTGTGTCAGCACTACATTCCACATAGTACAGTGTTTACAGGTTGGCAGGTAAGAAATAACCCTGGGATTTAGTAATATTACTGTTTTTCTAGGTATTGGCTTAACAAAGATGTCCCTAGAAATGTCAATTACCAGCTTTGGGGCTAAATGCAATGCACTGGTTCCTGGCCAGCTAGGCTGGTCAGTTTTTACGTTTTATAGTTTTTGTGGAAGATAGAAACATAACACACCATTGAATGTCAGGATGATGGAAGGAAAGAAGGAAGGGAGAAAGGAAGGGAGGGAGGGCCGGAATGCAAGAAAAGAAATATGCCACACTTGTTTGGTTTCCACGTAAGTGAGCAAGTAGTAGGTAGAATGACTAAGGACAAACAAGACTCTGAACAATTAATGCTATGTCATTAAATATCCACTGGACACCAATTATTCTTTGCTTGGATTTTAAATCACCTAAGTGACAGTCATATATAGAAGTATTACTAACTCTGAAAGTGAAAATATTTTTACATGTAATGATGAAAAGAGCAAGTCTGGATGGAATAGCTCAAGCAGAACAACAGAGATAAGGAGGTTGGGAGAGGCACAGCCACCAACTTTTTTTGGCTAAAAAACAATGTAGATGAGGAGGCGAGGGAGGACTGGAAAGGTGGGTGGTGGGCAGATAATGAAAGGTCTTGGAGGGCTAAGCTGAGGAGCCCAAACTTCATCTGATGGATACTAAATTATTACTAAAAGTTTCTGACCAGAGAACTGCCTATTTAAATCAACATGGTAGCAATCTAAGAACTAACATGGAGAAGGTACTGAAGTATGAACTCCTAGTTAAGGAATCCCTAGGAAGAAATAATGAAAACAGGATCACAAGTAATTCAGGTGGGTGTTAAAGCCAGACATTAGAGTTTGAATAATGACTCCAGATTTTAGCAACTGTGTAACCTTGGGCAAATTATTTAACCTCTCTGGGACATAGTCTCCTCAGCTATACAACAAGAAAAACTATCTTATAGATTTGTTGTAAGGACTAAATGAGATGATATATACACAAGAACACAGAACATAAACCTAAGCCTGGAACACAGTATCTACAAAAGTACTCATAAAATGCCAGCTAACTTTATTCTTAACGGGGTTCTGAAATAGGATGAAAACACTGAGATCATAAAGTGGGGGTTGGCTGGAAGAAGTAAAATCCAAAAGTTTGGTGGTGACCAGCTGCTAAAAGACACATCTGAGGTTTAAACCTTGAAAGGAGAGTATTGATTAAAAGAGATTAGTAAAATAGGAGGAAAAAGATTTGAAGGTACTGCTGGGGCCTATTTTATTACATTTCATTACTTTGTTACCCAAAGACAGATGCCAGAAATTGTCCTTATTAACATAATGGGACATTTCCCTTCTCTCTTGATCAAGTCTGGGGAGACTGTGGAGACAGTGTGTGGCAAGCACCAAAAGGGAAGTCCCCAGGGCTCATCCCAAAAGCTGCTTTACAGTTTGGCAAGAAGATGGACCAAAGGGCCTGTGAGTTATTCAAAGCCCTGCTCAAATCTCACCTACTCTACAGAACATCCTGCAGAACATCCTTTGACGCCCAGCAGCTGCTCCCTCCTCCAGACTCCTATGACTGTAGCATGTGTGGTGGTCTCTCTCTCTCCAACTAGATTACAAACTCCATGGGGGCCTGGCAAGTTCGCCAACTCTCTGTACCCACCACAGACTGAACAAATGCAAACGCTGAGTGTTGTTTAGTGCCCCGGTGTCACTACTGGAAACTAGGGCTACTCCATGAAGTCACAACTAGGCTTATAAGGATGATTAACTGTTACCTGAGAACATGCTGGCAACCCCGAAGCTGTCCGTAAGACCAGCTCTAGCACTCCAACCTTCTACTTAATGAGGAAGTGAGCAATGATTTCTCAAGCAGTAGGACTTTGGCAGTATCACACATCATTCACCTTTATTGAGTATCTTTGCCAAGTGTGCAAATACAAGCAAAAATACTCCTGAGGAAGGGCTTATGGGACATTTGTGCACAATTAAAAAGAAAAACAAACAAGGAAGCCAGGCCCAGTGGCTCACACCTATAATCCCAGCACTTTGGGAGGCCGAGGCAGGTGCATCATCTGAGATCAGGAGTTTGAGACCAGCCTGGCCAATATGGTGAAACCCCGTCTCTACTAAAAATACAAAAGTTAGCAGGGTGTGGTGGTGGGTGCCTGTAATCCCAGTTACTTGGGAGGCTGAGGCAGGGGAATTGCTTGAACCTGGGAGGCAGAGGTTGCAGTGAGCTGAGATCGCGTCACTGCACTCCAGCCTGGGCGACAGAGTGAGACTCTGTCTCAAAAAAAACTGATTCAAAATAAACAGGAATTGGGTCTTTTCTAAGTGAGATGCTAAAGTTAAAAGGAAACTATTATTTCAGAAATGTAACACATATGTATGCACATATATAAGAACAAATTATATATGTGTGTATACGGTTATGTATGTATATATGTGCATATACAGATGTATATATTTGCATATGTATTTTAAGATATCAAATGGGCCCATAGAAGATACTTTCTCATCCTCCCCCTTTCCTTTATTTCCCACATTTTTAAATGGGGAAAAAGGCATATCTATTTTGAAACATACCAAGGAAAGTACAACACAATTGCACCAGCAAACAGTTAAGATAATGCTCATGCCAGTATCTTAACTATATTTTTAAAAAAGCAATATTCAAACAGCATATTAATTGTGAAATACAAAAATTGTTTTAAAATATCTCATATTTCCTGAACTTCAAAAAATAAACATGCAAAGTATATTCTACTGAATTGCAAAGATAAATTATAATGGCAACTTCATTCTGGATATGATTAACATATTATTAAAACCCAAAAATAATTTGGAATTCTATATAACTTGCTGAGTGATCTGGTATTTTACCTATGTCCCATCTAAAAAAATAAAATCTATGAGCCATACTTAAAACTATTTAACGATGGTAAAATTATGCAAATTTCGATAGCCAGAATGCTTATTTTCATAAGCTATTCTAGTATGAAGCAATTATACCAAAAATAGACATCTATGATCATCTTACCCCATGAGAGTGCTTTTCGAGGTCTGCTACCTAGAGCCCCTTACCTGACACAGAGACGGCGTGTGTCCGCATGCCTTGCTTTTCGCTGTTGGCCAACCTGTGACAGACAAGAGCAAAGCTGTAAGCCCTGCAATTTCCCCAGGACCCCACCACTCGGCCTCATCAAGTAGGGAACTGCCTTGGATGAGGAAGACAAAATTTAGACAGGTGATTTCTTTAAAAATTGGATTCTATTAAAATAGCCAGGCTGCTTTAATGCTTTAAAGATCAGAAATTAAAATACACAACTGAAGGAATGTTGAACTGTTGTGAGAAAGATACTCTTGACAATAATTTAAAACAATGCAATACAATTTAATCTGGTATGAATAGGTTAAATTAAAATGTAAATGCTACACAGTAAAGGATTGCCCCAAAGTTACAAGAGAAAAACCATACACCTGGAAGTGAATTTTGCTCTCTAAAACATAATATGAAATACTATAGTATGACTGGTCCTTCTTAAACTTACGGCATGTAAAAAATTATCAACAAATACATGAACATGTACTATTACTTACATACTTAAAAAAGTACTCTCACTGTATCTTGCTACTTGCTTCATGAAATGGTTTAATGCTAGTTTTACATATTTACCCACAAAAAATAAAATTTTGGCCAAAAGTCTTTGTGCCATTTAAAAAATGCAAGTACAGTTAGTAAAACACAAAACACAGGGAAAAAAGGAACCACACAGTCTTTAGATGTCAAAGTTACCTGGTCTTTTTATAAAAGCAAACCTTTTCCAGATGAAATACTGACACTTAAAACACTATAGGTTGAATATCTCCTATTCAAAATGCTTGGAACTGGAGTGTTTCAAATTTCAGATGTTTTGGATTTTGGAATGTCTGCATATACATAATGAGGAACCTAGGGGATAGGACCCAAGTCTAAACATGAAATCTGTTTATGTTTCATATACACCTTATACATGTAACCTGAAAGTAATTTCATACAATATTTTAAATAACTTTGTGCACAAAACAAAGATTTGACTGCAACCTGTTACACATGAGGTCAGGTGAGGAAGTTTCGACTTGCTGCAACATGTTGGTCTCAAAAGTTTCAAATTTTGGAGCATTTTGAACTTTGAAGTTCCAGATTAGAAATGCTCAACTTGTACATCGTTTTGAAGCACTATAACTATTTAATGTGAAATTGTATAATCTCTATAATAATCACGGCAAACAGCCATAGACTTGTGTTCGTTTTATTCTCCAAAAATTTGAAATTTTATATCTTTAGTATAAAAATTTAATCAAAATTGTTTTCTAACAACTCATTACTTTCTCTTCCATTGCAGCTACATGATTTATCACAACTTACCTTTGAACTATATTGGGCAGTCAGAGGACACACATTTTAAATCAACAAATTACATCATTTCCTTCCTTGTTCTGTTGCCAAAACACTGGGGTTTTCCTTTGTCCGCATCACAATCATGTATGCTGTCGCTAAGCAACTTTCTCACGATAGCTTGGATTTCAGCACTTATCTGATCAATAGCAATAATGGTGTCCTGATGCTTTGAAGATTTGTGGAAATTCCACTCTTGTAAAGTTTGCTTCATTTATTTAGTTTCCTGTATCTGTTAACACTTCTAATGTACTACCTTCCTCACTCACTTTCATACCTATGTTCATGATTCCTCTATATGTGTGTGTGTCTGTAAGAAATGGGGTGGAGTCTTACGAAGTCACCCAGACTAGAATGTGGTTGCTATTCACAGGCATGATCACAGTACACCACAGCCTCAAATTCCCAGGCTTCAGTGATCCTCCTGCCTCAGCCTCAGAACCATAGGAACACACCACATTGACCAGCTTTGATTTTAATCCCAAAATTATCCCTTAACTTCCCACAACTAAAGGTACACTAAATAAACATTAGTTCCTGCCCTGATACGACCCCAAATGAACCTCTATCAGACACTGCTGATGCTGTAGAGTGCACCGTCCAAAGCTAGAGGTGCACCAGCCACGTGCAGACCCTGCCTGTGCGAGGCCCACAGTACTGCATATGACCTTGGCTGTCAGCAACTCGCCAGGTTGCCTGGGGAGGACAGACAGGTTAAAAGGCCATGTTTAGGACTCTGGCAATTAGTAACTATAAACGATTATAGGAAAACATGATGGGGATGCTCTCCTGGCTTGTGGGTGGGTCAATGAGGTTTCTACAGGAAGTGATGTAGAATGAGACTTAGAAGATGAGTAGGGCTTAGCAAGGAAAAGCGGGTTGGAAGAAGAGTGAATCATGCAAAGACAAAATACTGGCAAAGGCCTTCAGGGAAAAGAAAGAATGTTTGCTCCTGGAATTCAAAAAAAAGTTCAGTGTACCTGAGGAATAGTATGAGGAGTAACAAAAACCAAGGCTAAAGTGAGCAGGGAACAATCACACGGGCTCCTGAAAGCTAGGTTAAGAATACTGCAAAATATCCTAAGAGCAAGAGTAGGTCATCTAAGATATTTAATTAGGAAAGCTTCCTCAAGCTGTAGCACAGAGCACGGATAGGCTAAGGAGCAACACTGGACAGAGACTGATTTAGCAGAAGTACACAGAAAAGAGTTAATGTAGCAGGACTGTGACTGACTTTACACGATTGTCCCTTGCCTGGTATCTGGGAACTCAGATTTTCACGGAGTTGCCACCATCCCCTGACAGGTATGGTACACTATGCCCAAAATGTTTGTACAAAAAATGTGGTTTATGCTGAACTATTGCTTTCCCTCTGGGAGTCTGGAGTTTGGATGCATGCCAGGCAGAGAGTGTACATATAAAGAACCCCCAGTAAAAACCCTGGGCACCAAGTCTCTATCGAGCTTTCTCAGTAGGCAACATTTCACACAGGTCGTCATAATCCATTGCTGGGGAATTCAGAGTGTCCTGTGGCCTCCACTGGGAAGGGACCCTTGGAAGCTTGTGTCTGGTTTTCCATGGACTTCACCCCATGCGCCTTCATCCTTTGCTGATTCTGCTTTGTATCTATCTGTTGTAATATATCATAGCTGAGTCTTGTGACTCCTAGATCTTGGGGACCCCCAACACAGGAGTGTACTTGGGTAGCCCAGATAGCTAAACACAGGGGAGACACAGTGGGAAGGTGGTGAAGCAGATGGATCCATTTAGAACATGGAACTGGAGGAAATAGTAATGGACTGGCTACGGAGAACAAGGAGAGGGACAGAACAAAGCTCAGGCCTTACCCTCTCTATTCCAGTGGCCTCTTAGGTTCACTGTTCCTCTTTAGTGTCTTGGAAAGTGCAAACATCTCTGCAAGCACTTACCACACAGCTATAACTGTGTGTTTACCTGTGTATCTGATTGCCTAGATTTTAGCACTCATATCTTAGTCCCCAGTTCCTAGCAAATTGGCTGAGAATATAAAATTATATAAGTTATTTTGGTATTACTATTTGATTCTTTTAATTTTGTAGATCAACATACCTACTATGAAATTCAGGAAATAAACAAGAAAATTAACATAAATTATTTCTTTTAATTTTCATACTTGTAAAATAGCCAGAATGCCACATATTTTCAGGTTCTTGTAAAGATTAGCAATAACATATGAAGCAAATATTTAACAACAGGCTCTCGATATTATGATTATTCTTTAGCTCTCCCATAGAACTTAAAGGAAAAATTGAAACTTTTTGATTAAGCCTAAATACTTAATAAAATTTAAAACTGACTTGATTTCTTTCTAGAATTGTTTCCTAGTTCCTTGATCATGTATATTGAATTTAATTTTTTTAGGAAAATGAATAAAGCATGGAAATTTCCTTAAACTTCCCAACAAAACAAAATAACAGTAAAAAAAAGCGCAGTACTTACTTTGGTATTGATGGCAAAGCCCGTTCACCTTCTGCGGGGAAAAAGACAAGAGATGTATAAGGTTCTTTTCACTCCTTTTGAAAAGATGGTGCCTAGATTCAGGGAGGAAGGATGAGGCCTATGTTGGTATTCCAGCAATGACCCTTTAAAGAAAGTTGCTACACCGTCTACCTTAGGTTCTCATGGTTTTATTTTCAATATTTATAACAAACATACACTGACTATTAGATACAATTGTTTAAAGGGTACTTGTTGCGGGAAGTCAGGGACCCCAAACGGAGGGACCAGCTGAAGCCACGGCAGAAGAACATAAATTGTGAAGATTTCACGGACATTTATTAGTTCCCCAAATTAATACTTTTATAATTTCTTATGCCTGTATTTACTGCAATCTCTGAACATAAATTGTGAAGATTTTGTGGACACTTATCACTTCCCCAATCAATACCCTTGTGATTTCCTCTGCCTGTCTTTACTTTAATCTCTTAATCCCTTCAGTCATCTTCTTCATAAGCTGAGGAGGATGAATGTAGCCTCAGGACCCTGTGAGGATTGTGTCAACTGCACAAATTGTTTGTAGAGCATGTGTGTTTGAACAATATGAAATCTGGGCATCTTAAAAAAAGAACAGGATAACAGCAATGTTCAGGGAACAAGAGAGGTAACTTTGAACTGGCCGGAACACAGCCATATTTCTCCTCTTTCAAAAGCAAATAGGAGAAATATCGCTGAATTTTTTTTCTCAGCAAGGAACATCCCTGAGAAACAGAATGCGCCCTGAGGGTAGGCCTATGAACGACCCCCTAAAGGCATGCCGTCTTTTATGGTCGAAGCTAAAGGGATGAAATAAGCCCCCATCTCCTGTAGCTGAAGGGAAGAAACAAGCCCCGGTCTCCTGTACCACTCCCAGGCTTATTAGGACAAGGAAAATTCCCACCTAATAAATTATGGTCAGGCAGGTTGTCTCTCTCAAACCCTGTTTCCTGATAAGAGAAACTATTCCAATGAATAGAAAAAGAGGGAATCCTCCCTAACTCATTTTATGAGGCCAACGTCATCCTGATACCAAAGCCTGGCAGAGACACAACAAAAAAAGAGAATTTTAGACCAATATCCCTGATGAACATCGATGCAAAAATCCTCAATAAAATACTGGCAAACCAGATTCAGCAGCACATCAAAAAGCTTATCCACCATGATCAAGTGGGCTTCATCCCTGGGATGTAAGGCTGGTTCAACATACACAAATCAATAAACGTAATCCAGCATATAAACAGAACCAAAGACAAAAACCACATGATTATCTCAATAGATGCAGAAAAGGCCTTTGACAAAATTCAACAGCTCTTCATGCTAAAAACGCTCAATAAATTCGGTATTGATGGAACGTATCTCAAAATCATAAGAGCTATTTATGACAAACCCACAGCCAATATCATACTGAATGGGCAAAAACTGGAAAAATTCCCTTTGAAAACTGGCACAAGACAGCGATGCCCTCTCTCACCACTCCTATTCAACATAGTGTTGGAAGTTCTGGCTAGGGCAATCAGGCAAGAGAAAGAAATCAAGGGTATTCAGTTAGGAAAAGAAGAAGTCAAATTGTCCTTGTTTGCAGATGACATGACTGTATATTTAGAAAACCCCATTGTCTCAGCCCAAAATCTCCTTAAGCTGATAAGAAACTTCAGCAGGATACAAAATAAATGAGCAAAAAGTCTCAGGATACAAAATAAATGTGCAAAAATCACAAGCATTCTTATACACCAGTAACAGACAAACAGAGAGCCAAATCATGAATGAACTTCCATTCACAATTGCTTCAAAGAGAATAAAACACCTAGGAATCCAACTTACAAGGGATGTAAAGGACCTCTTCAAGGAGAACTACAAACCACTGCTCAGTGAAATCAAAGAGGACACAAACAAATGGAAGAACATACCATGCTCATGGATAGGAAGAATCAATATTGTGAAAATGGCCATACTGCCCAAGGTTATTTATAGATTCAATGCCATCCCCATCAAGCTACCAATGAGTTTCTTCATAGAATTGGAAAAAACTGCTTTAAAGTTCATATGGAAGCAAAAAAGAGCCCGCATTGCCAAGACAATCCTAAGTCAAAAGAACAAAGCTGGAGGTATCACGCTACCTGACTTCAAACTATGCTACAAGGCTACAGTAACCAAAACAGCATGGTACTGGTACCAAAACAGAGATATAGACCAATGGAACAGAACAGAGTCCTCAGAAATAATACCACACATCTACAGCCATCTGATCTTTGATAAACCTGACAAAAACAAGAAATGGGGAAAAGATTCCCTATTTAATAAACGGTGCTGGGAAAATTGGCTAGCCATAAGTAGAAAGTTGAAACTGGATCCTTTTCTTACTCCTTATATGAAAATTAATTCAAGATGGATTAGAGACTTAAATGTTAGACCTAATACCATAAAAACCCTAGAAGAAAACCTAGGTAATACCATTCAGGACATAGGCACAGGCAAGGACTTCATGTCTAAAACACCAAAAGCAACGGCAACAAAAGCCAAAATTGACAAATGGGATCTAATTAAACTAAAGAGCTTCTGCACAGCAAAAGAAACTACCATCAGAGCGAACACACAACCTACAGAATGGGAGAAAATTTTTGCTATCTACTCATCTGACAAAGGGCTAGTATCTAGAACCTACAAAGAACTCAAACAAATTTACAAGAAAAAAACAACCCCATCAAAAAGCGGGCAAAGGAAATGAACAGACATTTCTCAAAAGAAGACATTCATACAGCCAGCAGACACATGAAAAAATGCTCATCATCACTGGCCATCAGAGAAAGGCAAATCAAAACCACAATGAGATACCATCTCACACCAGTTAGAATGGCAATCATTAAACAGGAAACAACAGGTGCTAGAGGGGATGTGGAGAAATAGGAACACTTTTACACTGTTGGTGGGATTGTAAACTAGTCCAACCATTATGGAAAACAGTATGGCGATTCCTCAAGGATCTAGAACTAGAAGTACCATATGACCCAGCCATCCTATTACTGGCTATATACCCAAAGGATTATAAATCATGCTGCTATAAAGACACATGCACATGTATGTTTACTGCGGCACTATTCACAATAGCAAAGACTTGGAATCAACCCTAATGTCCATCAGTGACAGACTGGATTAAGAAAACGTGCACATATACACCATGGAATACTATGCAGCCATAAAAAAGGATGAGTTTGTGTCCTTGGTAGGGACATGGATGTAGCTGGAAACCATCATTCTCAGCAAACTATCGCAAGAACAGAAAACCAAACACCGCATGTTCTCACTCATAGGTGGGAACTGAACAATGAGATCACTTGGACTCGGGAAGGGGAACATAACACACCGGGGCCTATCATGGGGAGGGGGGAGGGTGGAGGGATGGCATTGGGAGTTATATCTGATGTAAATGATGAGTTGATGGGTGCTGACGAGTTGATGGGTGCAGCACACCAACATGGCACAAGTATACATATGTAACAAACCTGCACGTTATGCACATGTACCCTAGAACTTAAAGTATAATAATAATAATAATAAAAGATGTTATCAATGACAATGTGTGCCCGAAACTTCATTAGCAATTTTAATTTCGCCCCATCCTGTGGTCCTGTGATCTCGCCCTGCCTCCATTTGCTTTGTGATATTTTATTACCTTGTGAAGTATGTGATCTCTGTGACCCACATCCTATTCGTGCACTCCCTCCCCTTTTGAAAATCGCTAATAAAAAGTTGCTGGTTTTATGCCTCAGGGAACATCACGGAATCTGCCGACATGTGACATCCAGCTTTAAATTTCTCTCTCTTGTGCTCTTTCCCTTTATTTCTCAAACTAGCCGAGACACTTAGGAAATAGAAAAGAACCCATGTTAACCATCGGGAGCGGGTTCTCCCGATACATACGGCCTAATCCTAATAAAGAACTAAGATGCTAAGTTGGTAAAAGACTTCGTTCGCAGGAAACTAAAAGATGAAGGGTTTCTTAAGATTAGTCAACACTCCTTGTCAAAGGACCAGGCATTTTGCATTTTGATAAAACTACTCACTAGTAACAACAGACAAACCTGTGCAGGAAGCACAGAGAAACAGAAGGAAAACAATTCCACAGGTGTGTGTGGCTGCCAATGGAATGAATGTATAAGAGAAGTCAAGCCTCGGAGCTGTCACCCAAAGGAGCCGTGCACGTGGCTGGCTGGAAGGTGAGCCAGGCAGCTATCTACAGTGTTCAGGGTGAGCTCCTTTTTTGCTGAGCAGGACACAGTGACTGGCTCATGCTGGCCTGACCACAGTGAAGCTGAGGACTTTGTTCAATGGTGAGGGAGACTCACTCTTTCCTGCAGCCTTAATTTTGCAAACCAGGAAACATGGAGCCCTCCCTGGTTTAACCTCTTTAATTTGAATTAATGTAACAGCCCCCTACTGGTCCTCTCTGCCAATCCATCTGAGCTAAATGATTTCAGAATAAACTTCCCAAATTACAAATTCATCGATCAAGCAAGTTATTATGCTTAACATTTTAGTGTCTCTCAAAAACTTTCAGGATGAGATTTAAACACCCCAGCTTAATTTACGAGGCACTGCTTCACTTCGCTCAGCACACAAACATTGTTCTGGCTGTCATCTTTGCATTGTGTCTGTGGAGTGGCATGGGAGGCTGAGGAGGCACCCATCTACCACTCACCACTCTGGTGCCCTTCTAGGCAGCTCCTTGGTGACACCTCTTGTGTAGTCACACTTGCTGTCCACAGTTCCTCTCCTTGCATTTGCCCTTGAATTCATTCTAATCAGTTCCCCCCACCCCCATACACGGAAAATACTCTTTCAGCATCTCCAATGACATCTGCCTTGCTAAACCCAATTGTTCACTTACAGTTAGCAATTAACACAGCTCATCACTCTGTCCTTCTGAGAGCTTCCCACCCTGGGCCTCCTGAACCTTGTACTATATTCTCATGGTTTTCTTCTGTCCTCTCAGGGCAC